GGCATTCGTGACAATCTATAGTAAAAGAAAAATTTGGAAACCCATACTTATTAAGGTGAGTAGGTATTTTACACCAATAATTCATACATTTTATAATATTTAATAAAATTATCTGCAAAAACAATTTACTTCAGAACTTTGATAGACCGCACATTTGATTTTGACGATAATATCACTTTGAACAGTGCAGATCAAAACTCATTATCCTCGTACTCTCTCTCTATGTTTCGCGGCATGAACTTTAATTTGGTTAAGGTAGGGAAGTAAGTTCATGATATTATAATAATTATTATTWWTTATTATTATTATTATAATGTGTTCTGAAGGTCATCTCACTTATTAATAGAAAATAACTTGATTTTAATATGAATAATGAAATTTAAAATGATTTGATTATATCACAAATAATTAAATTTAAATAGATATAATATACACTACAACGGAACAATATTGACCATGCCAACAATAGACATAATTCCAGCAACGTTTTATACACTTACATTACATCGAAATGGTGACAAAATGGTAAAATAATAGAATACTTTATCTGATGATTGTAATTAATATAATGATATCTATTGAACCATAATTAATTTATATGCGATGGTAAATATACATATAGGATGTGCGATTACTTACCAAGGACGAAGGAAACTATATTCACATCCTGTGGAAGCTACCACAATATTTGATAATGACCATAGCTGGAGTAATATTCGTGGTCACATCACAGTTAATAAATTCGAATTTACAGAGGTTTATATTATTTATTTTATACATTTAATTCGCTATACATAATACGAGTACTTATACTTATTATCTAAAAACTGCATACCAAACCCATAGTTTTTTTTCCCCGTACTCGCCATTTAATATAATTATTTTATAATATTGTTAWTACTTCTTATTGTTTATACACATCGATATAGGCGCCGACAACTTGAAGTCGTTCATATCCGCTRTTAGTTTATGTCCCAGTGATGTATTCGTAATTTTTTTCCAGGGTATACGCTCAGCACATAGGCGTATATTGAGGGGAGAGGAGTGGGGAGCTTAATCCTCTCTCTCTCTCTCAAAAAAAAAATTTCTCACCAAACCTAAAATTAACTTACGGTGGGTCGTGGGGTATACCATCGTGTCTTTATATTTAAATTAATTAATCTACTCCCCTCCCCCCACCAAAAAAAAAAGGTTATTAGACATATTTACGCCATGCAATAGGATAAGATGGAGTTAGAACTTACTTTTTATTATATAATTGAGTTCTGTTTGACATATATGGGGTAAAAAAAATTGATCTTAATTTACCAGTTTCCGAAAATAGAAAAAATTTCTAAATTAATGCGAACGAAAAGAATTTAAGAACGAAAAACCTGCYGCTAATCCAGTGAATGCTGAAGATTTAACATATCTGGGAAATATTYGGTATCTAATAAAGAGAGGTGATAATTTATTATTTTACGATACTAAAATTCAAAAATGTATATCAATTCCGGATATATTTTTACCGGTTACCAGAAAACTGACTTCATATCGAAAAAAACGATGTTGGACAATCTCCGTGATGGACCTCAACACGAATATACTCAGTATAACACCTGTTATACTATGTTGAGATTAAATAAAATAAATAAATTCTTTACCTACGATCTCGTTTCCATTAGAATAAAATACATGACATAATATAATGTTAACAACGTTAAACAGTTTTCTGCGAAAACCTTAGGTTCTCTGTGTAATATATTTTCATCATCAAATCGTTTTGGCCTCTAATTATTATTCAAATAAACTATGCACGACATACATAGTTAATTTCTATCGTTTAAAACCGTTTACGTAATAATATGAAGGTAGTTTTCTTATTTCTATAAATAAAATATTTTGCATTGTTATAAACTGAACCGCACTTCTCATGCTCATACTTAGCGTTGTATTCACAAATCATAATGTTAATGATTACTTTTCATATCGTAAATAAAATATCCTATAACAACTTAAATGACCATATTATCATGTAAACACCCAAAACAATTTATTTCATTTTTTTTTTTTTTTTATGGATTTGGATCTTTTTTAAGCGTCAAGTGTGTATACCTACAGGCTACAACGACGTATCGAAGAAAAGATTATTTCAAACAACAGGGATTAATTATTACTGCTATAATTATCTATCACGAGTATATATATATATGCTATACATAATAGCGTACAATTTAAGCACTTGATTTAAATTTTAAATGATAAAACTTTCGAAAGCTAATAATGTTCTACGCAATCAAGTCGACAATAAATAAACGCCCAATTTGTGAGTGCGATTTTATAATTGACTTAACAGTAATAATATGTCATAAGATTTCTCCACTCGAAACATTTGTAAAACAATCGCTTTAGGTGTACACACTGCGAACGTTTTCGTGTGAACGCGTGATTGTTAAAAGTTGCATATATTTTTCGAGGTCGTGGCAAACGTCGGTATTGTTGATTTTACAAACTCATTCGGTATCAAACACCTCAACTTTTCGGTTCGGCGGTTATAACCATTCACATAGATACCCGCCTGTAACAAGCAACTAAATCATTTGTCATTTTTCAGCCCAACATGGACTTGGTATCTGATCAAAACAAAAAATTGGTGAGTTTAAATTTAAATATTCACGGATAATAATACGGTTTTAAGAAGGGCAATCGTTATATTTTGTCATTGCTATTATCAATAAGGCCTATCGTAAAACAGAAAAAAAAACGGTTTTCGCAGGTACCAATAAATTTACTCCCTGTCTGTTAATTTTATACATAGATGCCTACAGTAAAACATCCTCATAACGGACATCCTATAAGACGGAAATATCCTAAGGCCGGGAAATAAAAACAGACCTACATAATACCCTATATCTCGTACTTTATTCAGTCTCCCTACAGTGGAGAAATCACTTTGGTACCGAGCGATTCCGTTTTGCTGTGTTTTTCAATCGTTTCTCCTGCCATTTATTTACCTTTATTTTTTTTTCATTTTGTCATGACCAATATTTTGATGCTAAACATAATAATATTCATCGTTTGAATTCCGTGCACAACATTATAGCGTTATCCTTTGAAAAACGTGTAAACTATATTTTTTATTCGGTGTGCAGTGTGAAAATATGATAATGTCTGCAGTAATAATAATTCTCGAGTAGGTATATTACGCGTTGTTCGCAGTTTCAACACAAAACAAATTCATATTCAAACACAAGACATTTGAACAAATAAAGGTATTCGTGCTCAATACAATATGCTACCTACCACCTCTTCGCTGCAGGTGTAGTATGCTTTGCTACCTACCGGAAAATAATATTTTCCTTTCATGTTCTCATAAATATTATATTATGAATTYGTTTTGTTTTCGGTTTTTTGTACATTAATTATTATTRCCTGGAAATCGTACGCCAGTTTTTATGTGGCTTGGCGTGGCGCAGTTTCTGTAATCAGTCACGCAATGTGATTGAGAGTACGCACTACCCGCTGCCACTAGTTGCCGGATGGGTGAACACCCGGGTTCTCGATGGAAAAAACGTTGCCACACAAAAATGTGTTACCAACCTACCGTTACAACCGTATTACTAACTCCTACCGTGACCCCCACAATAGCTGGTGGCCATAATTTTTAGATTCAAAACCAAAAAAAAAAAAAATTATCATATGGTGTGATTTTTCTCATATTGCAATATTTAAAATGACGAACRCAACCGTTTTCTATAAACTTATTAATTAGTGTTGATTCCATTTGTGATCATCTTCTTCTTAGTTCTCACGATATACCGTCATATCAAGTCCAGTGCACAACAATATTAATATATTGGATTATAATCTCTTACAGTTTTCCTATAATACCTATAATATGGACTTGCTTTTCAAACAAGTGATAATACTGTGTTTTACACAAAATATATACAAATACACGAACAATGCATCGTCACATAAAGATCTGGACATACCTACCTGTTATTCGTGTTCGCGACTATGTCTTAAACGAGTACAAGAAAACCTAATTTAGTAACAAATAGCTAATTAGCTTTGTTATATAACTGAATATTATAACATTTCGAAAATTTTAATTTTRTCTTGCGATTTAAGGTAATGCATATTTGTCGTTGAATTTTTAAACAAGATCACACAGTTTTTCCACCTATATTTATTTTCATGCACTTAACACATTTTTAATTTAGTTAAATTTCACAAGTACAATTTTAGTTTATAACTTGTAACAAAGTGGAACACAGACGTGAGACATTAGGTTACTGAAATAAAACTATTAATTAGTATATATACAAAATACAATTAATTGCAAACTACTTATAATTATTATAAYACTAAACGAATGCCTTTTTTGTTATTTTATAAAAACACGTAGTAAACCTACCTATTTTTCAAATAATTGAATTAGTAGGTTCATTTATTGTGTGGTATTTAATTAAAATTGCATTATTATTTATTTGCATCATTTTGATTAGTYGACAGTACAGAAATGCATAAAATACTTATGTAGTTATGTACATTTCCTTACTGACGCTGTAAAAATGTAATTTATTTAAAACATTTGTTAATTTAACAAAAACTTCGCCAAGTTGATTATAGGAGTCATAATTAATACCTCATGATAAATTAAACACTAAATGTCCAAAGAAAGTGAAACATCATAGACAAACATGAATAAAACACTAAAATAATATGATCTTATACAAAATATCTTATGTGGTGATATACTTAAAACTAAAATAAATAAAGTAGGCGTGGCAAAAAATTTGATTCGCTGCACGCTCGGCTTATTTTAATATTTGTTTTTAAACTGTATTTTTCGTTTCAGAAATACCCAAAGTCCATATGGYTTATCGTACTCAATGAATTATGCGAACGATTTACCTATTACGGAATGAGAAGTGAGTCCATTTTTATAGTACCTAGTTTAGCGATGGCTTAACTACAGCTCAGGTTATAAGTTCGCCGCTTGTGGATAATTATTCTAATACAATAACAATGTATATTCCATATTAGCCGTCTTGGTACTGTACCTGACAACAATATTGAAGTTTAACGGTGACGATTCGACGATAATATATCACAGTTTTGTATTTCTGGCGTACTTCATGCCGCTGCCTGGTGCTATCCTTGCTGACTCTTATTGGGGAAAATTCAAGTACGTATTATACGGCGTATGGTCTTAAATTGAACCGCCATAAACAATATAATATATCAACTTTATCACTGTTTTTAAATGACGATTTTTTTCTTTCTTTTAGAACGATTATGTATTTGTCAGCGATTTATGCRTTGGGAAACACTGTGCTCACCGGTGCTTCGATGGCAGATATGTTTAGCCTCCACGTTCAAAAGTTAATAAAATATGTTTTACTATAAATATTTATATTCAACAACAAATGTTCTAAAAATAATACACTACCTAGCAGGGGCGAACGCAGGAAAAAAATTCGGGGGGGGGGGGTTGAAAAAATTTAAAGTAGGTATTCATAAATATCATATTATTCATACTGTATGTCTGTATTACACTTTTCTATATTTTATTTTAGTCACTTATACTATATACATAAATACATAATACATATATAATATACATATTACATAATAATATAATATCATAGATAATAATTAATAACTAATTATTACA